GTCATAGCTCTAAACCCAAATAAGATGTCTATGATACCATTTTCTAGATTTAAAACAATCTCAACACGATTTAACGATATCAAAAACACTAATCTAGCTAAAAATCTGAAAATTGCCACAAAAATTCTTATTTGGGATTTAGGCATACCTCTTTCACCGGAATCCGTCCACGGTCGCCGGAATCCGCCAATGGCCGGCCGGAGTGGATGGAGAACCTCTTTCACCGGAATCCGTCCAGAGTCTCCGGAATTTGCCAATGGCCGGTCGGAGTAGGTGGAGGACCTGCAAACATGGAGAAGAATGGCAAGAGGAGAATGAGCTCCTCCCTATCTCTCCCTCTCTTGTTTGGTCGGCCACTGGCCTCTCTAAAGCACCCCATGCATACGAGCACCCCCAAAGAAACATAGAGGGGCTGCCTCTCTTAACCAAAAAAAATGCACTAAGGGCTTGTTAACCAATATTGATAGGAGGATGTATTTGGTCTAATGGGTTGACCAAATATTACGAGATAAAGAGAGTTTAAATGTCTTAAGCGAGTTAATAAAATAAATGTCTATTTATTATGGACTGATATTTAACATACATATATGTGTTAATTTAAATTAACACAATTATCTATAAGATGTTTTAATTAATTACATAATAAATTATTATAATTATGGAAGTCCACATAAAAATATTCTAACAACTTTTTATAACAGTATAAAATTCTCACATTAAACTAAATCACAACTTAAATTAAAATTTTAAATTAATAAACTAAACTAAATCACAACTTAAATTAAAATTTTAAATTAATAAACTAAACGCCTCTACCTGAAAATTTATTGAATGCCACGGATATAGTGCCTAGGCTACATCTACATAGGTGGGAAATGTTACTTTTGATGTATGTAACGACAATTCTTTTTGCGTGTGATAATGAGATGGAGGCGGCTTTTGGTTAATATATATTGTACATAATCATTAATGTCTACAGTTTTTTAGTAATGAAGGAGGCAGCCGGCTAATTCGGCACATAGTAATCTTAATGGAGATTCGCGTTTGCGGTGGAAAAAAAAAAAGAAAATAGTAGAAAATAGATTAATATGAAAAGTTTAAAAAAAGTATATAAGTTAATTTTTAGTTATAGAAATTAATAAGTTATAATTTGTTAAGTTATGATTTATAATCAGATAAATTATGGATAAATTTAAGTTATGGTTTATAATTAGATAAATTATAGATAAAAATCGTGAATAACTTATCAAATGTAAATGATCATCATTGCAAGTAAAATAGATTACAGTCTCGTTCATTTTACTAATTCGAGTTTTATTACAGTAAAAAGCTCTAAAAAATAATTATATTTAACTTTTTTACTACAGTAAAAAATTTTCACATAAAATTACATTATAACTTAAATTAAAAATTTAAATCAATGAACTAAACAGCCTATCTAATTAAAAATTTATTGAATGCCACGGATATAGTGCCTAGGCTACATCTACATAGGTGGGAAATGTTACTTTTGATGTATGTAACGACAATTCTTTTTGCATGTGATAATGAAGATGGAGGCGGCTTTTGGTTAATATATATTGTGCATAATCATTAAAGTCTACAGTTTTTTAGTAATGAAGGAGGCAGCCGGCTAATTCGGCACATAGTAATCTTAATGGAGATTCGCGTTTGCAGTGGGGAAAAAAAAATTTTCACAGTATTGGACATGTGTGCTTTTTGCTAAGGCAATAATGTGGGTGGGTCCACCGTCCATGTATAGGGTCTTTTTAGGGTAGGTATTCTTTGTCATCTATGTTTTTGTAAACACTATATTCAATTAAAATCACCTCTAAATAAATAAACATATATAAGTAGAATTATTTTTAAGTTAAGTGAAGACTAGCAAGTAAATTGAATTTGAAGGGTTTAAAAGAACAATTTATTAATAATTATATGAATAAGCTTAAACATCAAATTGATTTTTATTGAATGGAGGTATCATGTAAGGATATAAATATGTATGATGAGTGGGAAAGATGAAATTTATGGATTAAAATATTAAGGAAAAAAACAAAGAATAGAAAGAGATTGACAGCTGGTCGTTTCAGCATTTTTTTTTAGCAGGAGCAAACTAAAAAGAGTTGTTGGAAGAATTTTTTTAAGAGAATAAAATAAATAACAGATTTATAATAAATAATTAAAATAAATAGTAGATTTTAAATTATTTAAAACAGTTTACTGTGTATATTTTTTTTTATGATTAGTAAAAAAAAAATTTTCTACACGTAAATTTTTTTACGACTGAAAAAAAGATTTTTTTTAGGTAATAAAGATTTTTCACCAAGTAAATTATATTTTACAAGTTGTAAATAAAAATTTACATAATAAACTGTTATTTATTTTGAATAGTTTTAACATCTATTATTTTTTCATAAATCTATTATTATTTTTTATTTTTCCTTTTGCTTTGCTATATAAATGAGAAACTCAATTGGTGAAATAGTATCTCTCTCTAAAAAAGCATTTTTTTTTACCGCCGCGCAAAGAAAATATTTTGTTGCGAATGAACAAGATATTGAGGAATTGTCCATACGTAAAATCATAATTATTGATAGGAGCCTTTTCCACATAAAAAGGGAATCTTTTGTTACAATAGAAGCAGAAGTGATGTGGATTATTCAAGAATCGAAGTCGATTTGCTTTATAAAAAGAGGATATCAATGAGCTTCTATGAAATGGTTTCACGGGATTCAGCCAATTGTCTTGATTGTGGGATATCATTGAGAAATAGGAATTTATGTTATTAAAAGATTTCCTGCGATTCTTTCTAGTATGGAATGAGTCAATCATCCACTTTGGTATCTTATTGAACAAAAATGGTGATATTGTTCCTCTATTGATCAAGAATTTCAATTTTTGGAAAGTATCATGATCATCCAATAAGCCCAAGATAGGCTCTCTTAAAACAAGCCCAAGATTTCAAAGGCCACACCGGCATAAAATGCTTATATAAGACTTGATATAAGACCCATTAGTGGGGCATGTCCTAAAAATGTTGATATACCACTCGATATATATATATATATATATATATATATATATAAAGTTTCTTAATCTTCAGTAAGGGCACGTGGTCCCACTGGGCATTAGCTGCATATCATCCAGTTCAATCGAATAATTTATTGCGGTTACTTTGAAGTCTTTGCCAGTACATTAATATCTTTCCATTATTAAAAGATTATAAATAACTAAATTTGTGCAACGTTGTTGCAAACAAACTATATATATACTTTTCTACTGGAAAAAAAAAACTATAATATACGTCTTCTGTTTCAAATTCCATTGCAAGAGGTTTTAGGTATATATATTACTATAGCTGCTACATATGGACTTGCTCTTATGAGCATTTGATAGGTTGATCAAATTTATAAGTTCTATATTATATAAATAAACAATACATATTTTGTTTCTTTTGGAAAACCCAATCCAAATATTAGAGCAAAACGAGCAAAAGCTTAAAAATACTTGGTGCACTATATAAATGTGATTTTTTAACTGTTGAAACCTTGAACAACCAATTCAGAATCTTATATACGTAACGACGTACATGTGCTCATATTTCCTTTCAATTATATCTAAGTATTTGAAATTTGGATAACTAGAAGTCTTGAATATATTTTGTAGCTTGTAATGGAAAAGCTTGGTCTTGATCCGTGAGTCAAACTTCAACTATTGCTGACTCCGTAAATTATGGACAGTTTTTAGCACATAGTTTCTACATATACGTATTAGCAGAGAAATTTTGACCGGCTTATTTCCAACTCTTAATATCAGAAATTCATTTGGGAAAGCAATAGCCGCCATAGGTGATCTTGATCTATTTATATCTTATTCAATTTTCTTATCTTCCGTTTGTTTTACCATTCAAATCACAACATAATCTTTTGCTGACTACATTATTTTCCCTTACAAAAATTTAAATTTAATTTTTTTTATATATTTCTTATATAACTTCACTTTTCAACTTAAATTCTCAACTCGAACAAATGAAATGGATAGAGTTTCAGTATTAACTTCAACCCTATCTATTTACAATGTACGTAGTGACTAAACTCTGGGGAGTGAAAAATAAAGCATTGTAAAACGACTTTGTAAGTGCATGGCAAGTCTTCTTTATATATGTGAATGATGCGATAATAGATAATAGAAGAACGCATAAGGTCCTGATGAAGAATGCACATTACTATCATATTGCTTAAGGGAGCGCCATATATAGTAATATAAGGAAGATAGGTTTTATTAATGGAAAAGAAAAACATAATTAATAACAATATCTTATCTAATGGTTAAACGTCATCACTTCGGCGTCTTCATCGAACTTTTCTTGGTGTTTTCTAGTTTGTTCAATTTTATTTTCGTTTTCGTTTGCTTCGTTAGAGGTTATTTTCAGAAATTTTTGTCATTTTTTTTCCTTTATTTTAAGAAAATTGAGTAGGGGGTTCGGTGAAGGATTTAAAGTTTAGTCGGTGCTACGTAACCTGATTAGATGTGCTAGTTCTTCTTTGACATCGATTATCTCTTATTAAAGAAAAAAAAAGACAATTATTAAAGTTAGACTATTATATATGAATAGAATAATGATCAAGTACGGAATTTCTGTGCATTTTCGAGCCTATAAATAGTAATGAAAGTGTCACTGAGAAAAAATATATGGTATATTTGTTTTCTTTAATTTGAGAAATTTTCTATCTTAATATTTCTTGTTATGTTGAGCGACAATTAATAGTCGGAACCTCGATTTCTGAGAGCCAGCCCTTCAAAGATTGGAATCAAATGAAATGAGTAATGTTACTGACATCGGTGGTGCTCAGCACTATCAACTAATAGAGGGTGGCCGATCTCATAAATTGAGATCCACGTAACTGAGCCCACCTTATATTAATAGTAGTGCTTATCACCGGTAGTGTTTCTAAGCATTTTTCAAATACTAGTTATTGCCTATCTTGTCAGGATCAAGAAGACAACGATTTTTCCACCCCCAACATAAACTAAGAAACGATATTTACATTTCTATAAGATAGGATTTTATATATTATGAAGTTAACAGCTGAACAGTCCATAAATGGAAAGATGATCTATGAGCTTGATAGGATTATATATATGTATATATTAAACGTTGTGGTCACATGATCATCCCATTAGAAAGAAGATCGAGCCACCAACATCCTTATTTTCCCATTATTTTAATACATAACTATCACAATCTTTCGTAACTGATCGTTACATATGCTCCAGATTCTAGTTTTATTTATGCCGAGAAGCCACAGTACTTATAAATTATATATGCACTTCAAGGACAGAACACGACCTTGTAGTTGGTCCCACCAGGGCACGTAAAAGTGCTAGTTTGATCATCCTTCGGATAACTATAAGCATCAGGGCACCTATCCTTGAAATATTTAGAGAAGTTGGTGGGCCCACAGTTGCCAGAATTGCAACAATACTGATCCGTCTTAAAGACAGTACAAGGGTTATTGCAGCCGCCGGGTGCTTTTAACTCTCTGGGACACTGCCCATTGATGTCGGCGGTGCACCGGATCCCGCGGCTGCACCTGTCGGACGTGGGGCTGAACTCCATCGGAACATTGAACCCGTCGACGAGCGAGATGTCGAAGAAATCGAGGTTGTTGAACTGATTCAGCGCGTATTCCGCCAGGGTGTTGGGTGGCTGGCCGTAGGCTTTGCATTCTAGGACCCTACCGCAGTCCCCTGTCTGGCAACTGCCTCGCCCTGCGCCGTCGAAGTTGCAGTTGGTTCGGGCCCAAATGCGAGCGCCTTTTGTGCCTGGGCTCACGTTGATGGTCCAGGTCTCTCCGCGGTTGAGCCGCCTGCCGCCGCCAGGCACGGCGGCACCCCAGACGGTGTAACCACAGTTGTTCCGAATTTCGAACCTGGCTGCATTGGACAAAGGAAAGATGAGGGCTATTAAGAGGAAAGGGATAATGGGGAGGGTTTTGAAAAGACTTGTCATGATATATTAGGAATAATAGAGCAGTTATAAATGTGAAGATGGCTTTAGATAGATTGTTTGCTTTTGGTTTCAAGTGATGCACTATTGGTTATAGGACAATGAGCTTTATATAGAGCTTGGTATATTATATCAAGGTAAATTACCAAAAAAAAAAAATTATATATATCAATGTATGGCTCTAAGTAAAGTGAAACAATTCTCCTGTAGTCGGAAATTTGTGAAAGCTGATGACGACATGCACGTGATGTCATAATTAGTTTAATTGGACCTAGTTTTTTGAGAGAAGTCAAGATATGGATGCATGAAATTTCGTCGAGATTGTCTATTTCGCTGTTGATCAGGATAATATATACACTAATACACGTATAATATGTGTGTGTGTATATATCGACAATATCATGCATGGTTGCTTTTGATCTGCTTAATTAAGGGAACACGTTAACGTACAATTTTTTTTAACATACAAATTTTTTTATTAATGAGCAATTGGCATTAGGAAAAACGGATAATAATTAGCTTTTGTTACATATCTGATGGTCAAGAAAATGTTGATATGAAGATTCTTATTGTTATTTTTAAATTTGTTATTTTTCTAGAAAATGTGAGAGCGTGTTATTTATTTAGCCTCAATTTTCCTACAGTTGAACATAATTTTTCTACAAGTCTATGATGGAAATGACCGATATCCGAAAGAAGGAAAAGTCACATGAATTTATCACGTTGTGGTTTTTGTCCACGTATATACCTTAGCAACTTTTTATTTGTTTATTTGACAATTCAAATTGAGAATTTGAGTTGTGTATGTGAGAGAAAAATAATATAACAAAAAAATTATATTTAAATTTTTATGAGATGAAACATTGTAATAATAAAATTTGAGTTGTGAAAAGAAGAAACATTTTATTTCTTGACAATATCCACCCTCACAATTAATTACTTTTCGATCCACTTTGTTATATTTTTCATACAAAACATGATCGATCATACCCTAGGATTAATTCGTGGTAACAGTCATATATACTATTATATAAAATGCCTTCTTTATTAGCACGTAGGCTGCCTCTCAATTTCAAGCATGCTCCTGCATCATTCTCTCCTCTTTAGAAAAATGCCCCTTTTAGAGTGCACTCATAGAGACTTAAACTTAGGACGGCCTCCTGATACCAACTGATATAGGATTGACGCAACCATTCATCTTAAAAATTGTTAATGATGAGAGAGGCACAATTAAATATCACCCAGGACCAGACTCGGAAATCCTCTCCAAACTCTACAAGTTCTATAGTGGAGATAATACCAAAATAATGATCAAAATATCTTAAGAGAAAACCATTGAGAACCATTCATCTTTTGGACTTTTCAAACATGCCGTGTTGTGTTTGGTATGGAAAGTAACGAATTAATACTGGTGCTTACTTTTATTACGAGGTCTATTAATCATATGCACGTTTAACCATGCGATGCATGCATTTGAATATTTAGCCACGTAAATTTTAAAATGGGGCCCACAGTTTTCAATGGAGATGACTGTGATTTATTTTTGTGTGGTAAAGAAATCCTCGCCTAGGGAATAGTAGTGAAAGCAACAAAAAAAACCTGCATCGTCCAAGAATATTACAAAACTATTAATAAACTGGCTTTAGAAATTTAGAAATTACCATAACATTATATATTATTTAATTTTTCTGCTTTCTCACGACTATGAGTGTGTTCATTTTACAACTTAAGTTATAATTTGAGTTATGATTTGAATTATGTATATGAGAAAAAAAATACTGTAACAAAAAAAGTTAAATTCAAATTTTTAAATTCAAAAAAAGTTAATTTTTCTCCTTTCACTCTATTATATTTTCCAAGTTGAAACTGTGACTATTGTACGCCAGTGAAATCCTGTGGGTAAGAATGAAAAACATATTTATTAATATCTCATTTGGAAAAATAAAAAAGAAGAAAAATAATGTATAAAAGGACAAAAATGATAAGAATGAAAAGAAAAAAAAAAGAAGAAAAAAGCGGAACACAAAAAAAGAAAAGTGCGTGACGAAAATAGGTATGAAAATAAAAATGGGGAACTAAAAAAAAAAAAATATATATATATATATATATATATATTTGTGAGGGTCAATTTAGAGAAAAGAATTAATAAAAAAGAAAAATGTACAATGAGACAAAAGAGGAGACAAAAAAAGAAAGAAGAGATATAGGGAGAGGGAGGAAAGTTAAAGAAAGAAAGAAAGAAAGAAAAAAGAACGCAGAAGGTAAATAAACATATAAAAAAAGGAACTAACAAAATGTTTCGTTAATGCTCTTGAAAAACGTTTTCTCCTTTCTCCTTTTATGTGTATGTACAGATATATAGATATTATATATATATATATATATATTACTAAGGGTAAGGATGAGAACAGAGATTACCTTATCGATGAAAAGTGATTTTAATCTCAGAAGGTAAAATTACTTTCGTATTGTTTATATGGCCGTTTTTAAATACTAATAGTATAAAAAATAATGTCAGATTTTATCCATCTATGTAGATAACAACAGCTATAATAATGTGTCAAGGCCAGTACTAGTGGTCCAACTATTTCATTGCACATAAAGCCCGTCAGTACTTATCTACGTACAACATGCCTAAATATATAGTTTGATTTTGTTCTGTTGAACAAGTGTTCATAATATTTCTTTTAGATAATATCACACAATTCATCAAAGGTTTCGAATTCAAATCGTACAAAAGAACTCAAAAGCGTTGCTGTGAAAAAAAAAAAAAAAGCACTAAAAACTATACTGCAAATGTGTGCAATATAGAATATGAAACCAAGAAGGAAAAATAAGTTTTAATCAAATGATGAGATTTGAGCGATTTCTTTCTTTCTTTTTTTCCTTGGGTGCTTATAACTAAATCTCATTTCATTCGTTAATTTTATCATTTAGCCGTCACATTTTTTAATTATGAAATAAATTCCAAATACCCCTAAATGCATTAACAAATAGGTCCTAAATTTGGTGGTTAAAACATCTCCGTCCTAGAAATCATTTAACAATTGAAAATAAGAAAAATAAACAAAATATTTTCGTTATTCAGTAATTTGTTTACGTCCACGGATCAGGAGTATAATTTTCACTCCATTCATTGATCCTTTACAATTAGTATGTACATGACTATAAATAGATATGGTCCCCAAAAATACAAGCAGTCAATCAATGAGTTAGGCTATCAATTAATCTCCATATAATTACACTAAATTGATAACTATTCACACCTAATTGACAATTATAAATCTCTAAAGATGGAAGGGATCACAAAGATAATTACAATAATCAAAATAACAAATCTCAACACTCTCCCTCAAGTTGGTACATATTAACTTAGAAATAAAGCTTCAATGAGAAAATAAATCCTCTAAATCCGGAAACAATCATCGGATTCCAACATTAAGGCGCAAATCTTCTAAATCCAGAGGTAATAATCAGATTCAACATACCAACTTGGAAATAAAGCTTTGGGCAAATCTTCAATAAGGTTTGACTTTCATTAAACAACTTTAGAAATCTTGCACACCAAAGTCAAGTTCATATCAGTTTCACAGCATATTGATTTCAAGAAGCTTCACATGCCAAGCTCAAATTAACAGGAGCTTCACAACATACTTCAATTTTAAAATTAGCTTCACATGTTAGGCTCATACCAACATGAGCTTCACAATACATGCTTCAATTGTAAAGCTTGAAAATAAGAGCCAAAAATAGAAGAAAAGAGAGAATAAAGAATTTTACGTAGTTCAACAATTCGCCAACGTTCACAGATTAGGAGTATGATTTTTATTCCATTCACTGATGATTTACAATGAGTATGTACATGACTATAAATAGATATTATCTCCAAAAATACAAGCAGACAATCAATGAATTAGGCTATCAATCAATCTCCTATATAATTAACAACTATCCACACCTAATTAACAGCCCCTAAATGAAAACTATAAATCTCTAAAGATATAAAAAAAAAATCACAAGGATAATTACAATAATCAAAATAACAAATCTCAACATTAAAGAAAATACTACACAGCACTAGACCCTATATTACACGCTATCGTGTATATATTGCTAGGTAAATATTACCTTTTTATTTTCCGGAGTATATTTTCTGCAATCACGCTTTTGGAAATACAGTTTTTAGACTATTCGAGATGGAGAATATGCTGTATGATTCTACGGCATTTGCTGAATGACTATTATTTTTATTGCAATTGTTATATTGCAACAGAGTGATAATCATTCCACTTCTTTCTTTGTAGGAATAAATAAATAAAAGTAATTTCTTCAGGAACAAACAAAAAAACAAATAAGAAATTTTTATCAATTACCTCTCTCAAAGCTTTCACAACATATTACCAGTAATGCAAATTCCACGGTTAGTGTTGAGAGCTGCTCTTACCAAAATAGCAGTTGTTTTAAGTTTGACCCCAATAACAGTTTTTATTCTTTTGAATGGGGTAAAACTAACAACATTTTGAATTAGAACACCTCAAGCTCGAGCACAGATAAATATAAACGCTATAATCAGACGGTGAATAACGTCAACTGTAGATACAAATAATATAAACGCAACCACAATATAAAAAGACATCATGAACCGCTAAATTCAAAAATATCAGCTGATAAAATCTGCATGGTCATGGATCCAAACGGCTGTAAGATAATTGGAGCTTTGTCACTATTGTTGAGGACAGGATTTGGTGTGCCATGGAAGATGAAGGTGCGATGAGCAAATGGTGGCAGCAGTGGCCAATGGCGGAGTCACATTAATTAAGCTCAGAGGGGCGGTTGTCCCGACTGGCCGAATAGGCTCCATTAATTTTTACCCCAGTTAAAAGTTTTTCTTACAAAGAGTCTCCTAATTTAAATCATCAAAATATCTTTAGTTGCACAATTTGTGTAGAATTTCTTTTAAAGACAACAATTTGACAACACCTTGCATCTCCTGAGGTCTGCTGCTTTCTTGAATGTAATTTATTTCACTAGTCATCTCATCACTAGAGTTTCTAATTGCGGTGCAAGGAAT